GGGGTAATGCGGGTGTTGGGGGTGGTTTGGGGGTGTTGGGGTGTATGGGGGTATTGGGGGCCACTGTGGGGGTGTTGGTGGTGTTATTAGGGGTTCTGGACCCCTTCTTCTTTTTTTTTCTTTTTTTTTTTGCGGGGTGCTGACAACCCCCGACCGGTAGGTGCCGACCAGCCAACCGGTCGGCGGGTCGGCAGCCGACCAGTCAAGGGCCGCCGACCATCGGGGTATGCAACCCTGCACCTCCACAAAAAAAAAGCATGACTGTGCTAGACTGTTTCGTTGGACTTTCACCGATTCGTCAGGAGGTGTGTGTGTGTGTGTGTGTGTGTGTGTGTGTGTGAGGTCTGAGATGGAATTCACGACGGATGGCCTATTGTTGTCCAACACAGGTTGATTTACGAGATAATGGTGCAAGCTGGTCCAGTGGTTGACGTCCACATCCCACGCGACAAGGAAACACAAAGGCACAAGGGCTATGGTTTTGCAGAGTTTGCCTCGGAGGAGAGTGCGCAGTATGCATTTAGACTGTTTTCTGGTCTGATCGTGCTGTATAATCGGAGTGTCAGAGTTGGGGTATGTTCCCTCGTCCCCTTCTTTCTCATCACGCTTTGATGCAGCGAGTGCAGCCTTATCATTTATCGCCTTTCTTTTTTCATACCCCCCACCGCGTGCCAGTTCTCTGTCAGCTCTCTTCTTCAATGTTTGTCATGCACATAGCGTCCCAACAACGCCTCTCACTTCTCCTTCGTGAGTCTGTGGGCATGCTTGCACCGAGAATTTCTCTAAGTGAAATTGATCGTTAGTGCACCCAGATACGTCTGAGAAAGTCCCCGTGTCGGTACGTCATGAAACCAACAAAATCTTCATCAAGGCTGCTTTCTCAGAGGATGTCCACTCAAATGTGGTTCAGTCACATGTGGTTCGTTTCCTCCCAAGATAAGATCATAACAGAAAATCAATCGTGCCCATTTTCTACCTTGGATCCTTCTTAGGGTCAGGCCCCAGTGGAAAGGAATGAAGCCAAACTGTATCACCTATGGAAAGGAGTGGAAAGTATGCCACCAAAGGAACAGGAGTGCGACTCAAGCTCCACGAAGACTGCTAAGACCTCTACCTATTCCCTCAGGACCAGGAGATTCCATATCTATAGACTTTCTGGACACCAAAGTCAAAAGCAGAAATGGGAATAGTCAAGTTATCGTCATCGTAGTACGTATGGACAATTTGTGCCTTTGCCAGCAAAAGCAAAGACAAAATCTGGCTACATGCTGAAACCTCGGAGTGAGATGATCTCACGGATCGAGGTCAGAATGGGATCAAAAAAATTGTCTTTGCTTCTGCTGGCGAAGGGCTGATTCTGCATACTTACTACTATGAACATAACTTGACTACCGTCTTCACCCGAATAGAACGCCCGGTCATTATAGCTGTATTTGATGCAACGTTCAGTCCAGATACGACAATAATTACCGGGCGTTCTATTCGGGTGAAGATGGTAGTCCCCCATTTCTGCTTTTGACTTTGGTGTCCATAAAGTTCTCGTTGCACATTGGGGGTCAAGGATCAAGGTATCTTATCCTGTACGCTCGTGGGTTTGCAACTTTGCACCATACTTGCAAGCGCACGTCATGCGGGCGGTTCCAGACGTGCGGTGCACGCACCCAACCGATCCCGTGAGGCGCACGAAGTGTGCGGGGAACGACCCGTCACCTCCCTCAGAACAAAAAGAGAGAAGGCCGGGGTCGAAACAGTGCGTTTGAGGCCCCCCGCCAAAATTATAAGCGGGATGAATTTTTTTTTTACAGGAGTGCTGCCTCACCTTGCTCCTCCTCCCTTCTCCTTTTCGTCTCCTCCGACTTGTCCTCCTCCTGTTTGTCCTCCTCATCCTCCTTGTCTCCTCCTCCTCCTCGTACTTCCTCATCTTCAATGCCTCCTTGTCTCCTTCCCTTCCTCGTGTCCTCCCTTCCTTGTGTCCTCCCCTTCCTCGTGTCCTCCCCTTCTTCGCTCTATGTCTCCTCCTCCTCCCACTTGTCCTCCTTCTCCTGCCCTTCCTCTTCCCTCCGTCCATCTCTTCTCCTCTCCCATCTCAACGACTCCGCTTCGTTGTCCTTGCTATCCTTCCTCCTCCACATCCTCCTCCTCCTCCTCTCCATATCCCCCTCCTCTCGCCATATCCCCATCTTCCTGTCATACCCCCCCCCGTACCCCCCTCCCAAAAAAATGAGAAAATAATAATAATAAAAATAAAAAACCTGCACGATTCCGCACAGGCAGCCCCCGCGCGGAACTCCGCACGAATGTGCGGCTCGTGCGGTTGCAAGTATGGTTTGCACTGAAGTGTGAGATAGATCTGCAAAACGTTACTGAGGGAACTTTAGGCACACTCCGTTCAAAATGACGGAGCATGCTAACAACTAGTAACAAGCATCCTGGACGTTCGCAATTCGCGTGGGTGAAGGAAGGTCTAAGGAATTTGTGCCTGAAGAAGAAATTTCTCAGAAATTGCGACCCGTGTGCAGAGCGACTGTGGGAAGCCCGAGATATCAAGGGAGAGCTAACGGTACGTCCTATGCGATAGACGTCCCACTGGCACCTTCACACTTTATCAAGTCTGCCATGCTTGAAAGTTCTTGCCTCTCCCACCTGATATGGATGGTAGTAAATGCACTGACCACACTGTAGATCAGGCTGAACTTCCAATCAATAAGACGGGGAGACCAAGTCACGAGCTGAGAGTCAGATGGCAGCACCAAGGACTGGAAGAGGATAGGTGGCTCCTCAAAGAGCAACTATGTGAGACCATACCTTGCATTGTCTCATTACGAGCAAGCAGGTAGAGGGTCCCGTGAAGTCGACAGGTAGACAACCATGGGCATAATACTACTACTGATGCTGTCATCGTCATTACAACCTCATGAACCATTCCTTATACCACCACCAGTACATACATGCCTCTTTTTGCCGAACCGGATTCCCCCTGCATGCCAAACTTTGCTGGGATGCCAGCGCAACGCTTCTTCCTTTCTTTTAGGGTGACGCTGCCAGCCACAGCCATTTGGTTCGGTATCCCCGAGCCTCCAGACTTTTTGGAACGAGCTGACTTCGATTCTCAAGTTTGCCTGGGCCACGTGCTGGTGGTTTAAACAAAGTTTTGTAAGTAGATCGTGGCACACCACCACTGCCAAACCTCTATTGCCTGGTAGACAGTGCTGATTGGAGGACCACGAAATTAGGCCCACCACCGCTGCCAAACTCCTACTGCCTGGTAGACATTGCTGATTGGAGGAGCACGAAATGAGGCCCGCCACAGCTGGCAAACTCCTATTGCCTGGTAGACATTGCCGATTGGAGGACCACGAAATTAGGCCCGCAGGAGTGGAGAGATTCACGCGTTTCAGCAGTCTGGCCCTGGTAGCGCATCCCATTTTCTTTTGTATCATAGGGCTGTACGTAGAACTTTCTGGTAGGTACCTTACAGGTGAAAATAGAGATCCGATAGTATGAGGCCTGTAGGAACAGTAGAAGTCCCTAATGGTCAGTAGGCTGAGATACGCCACGTGTCACATCCCGGTCAAGTCACAACCCAGTCGCAGGAATGGCTGAGCTTGTCAACGCCCGACAGGACTGACAGCACCAGCCAGTGGGAGGTATGAAAGCTTCGATTTTTCCTTTGATCAGTGTTTTGACACTGAAACTGCACCAGCATTTGCATGTCTGATACTGGACCTCCTTGGGCTGAACTTCACTGACATGGCAAACTTGCACCTGAGAGGCAGCCATTTACCACAAAACCCCAAAGGCCTTTTTAATGAAACCTGTCACCCATACATAGAGTGCACACCATACTAACGTGAGAGCAAAAAGAAAGAAAAATGCGAGGATCTGGGTCCTCGGCAGGCCTAAGGGGGCCCCTGCTGCAAATGTGCCCGCCCTAAGTGAAGGCGGGCCTAACAAATCCCGAGAGGGCCTAAGCTGTCAAATTCGTATTTGGGGTCCAGGCAGTTTCGTCGCGCCAGTTGGTTGAGGAAAACACAGGCCGAGCAACAAGGAAATTCCAMGGCCTTCTAGGCTTTTCCCAAAGTGCAGGCCCTGGGCGAGATTCGCAGCCTCATACACAGACAGTTGGGAGGCCCAACGGAATGAGGCCAGTAGCTACCCCAGAGGCGCAGCATCCTGGGGCCTACCGGAAGCTTCTGGGCCCAGGCCTAGGCCCTCCAGGCTGCGAAGGCAGGCAGACTCTTTCCATATAGGAAAGAGCTCGCTGCCTGGAGGTCATGCAGGCACTCGCATGCTAGCGGCAGCGCTGCTGGAGCAGACGCTCGTGGGCTGCTGCCCGCGCTGAGAGGCGAGGTGCAAGCGCGTGCGGTCGTGCAGGGAACAGGGCGCTGCTGAGGGCAGCGCCATAGCCCAGTCTTCATAGCTGGCTGAGGGCAGCGCCATAGCCCAGCCTTCATAGCTGGCTGAGGGCTTGGTTGTACAGTGAGGCGCAGGGGTGGTCTTCGGGTGTACAAAAGGAAGACGTGGGGAGGAAGATGAGGGAGAGGGAAAGAGAAGGATGATGACGATGATGATGTGAGGGCACATACCTGGTATTGGCGATGGTCTGCATGGGCGACATCTTCAAAGTACTTCGGAGGCTGCTGACGTCAACAGTTGCATTGCCAATTAGTAGGCTAGTAGTAGCTGTGTAGGGAGTAGGCTGGGCGCCGAGCACCAAGTAGGGAGATGCTGCTTTCTGAACACTGTGATACAAACTGGCTTTCAATGTGATTGTGCAATCTGATTATTGTCATCTCGCTATTGCTCATTTTCCTTGCAATTTGGTATCGGAGCTGGTTCGAACTGCGTTCATTGGTTCTTCGCAATAGCTGTTCGGTGCTTCGCATGAGGTGTGGGGCAGTGATAAGGCTTGGGCGTTGGACGTAAGGCGGCCCAGGAGGGTCGTGTGGGCATGCCAGGAAGCTATGTGGTGACATTAGGGGTGTAGCTGATGTGGCATTTAAGCCGAGGTGGAACTGCATTCTGTTGTTGGTTGTGCCAAGGCAAAGACCGGTCATCATAAATGCACATCAGGTTGCCGGTGAGAAATCTGTGGTTGGGGGCAGCATTATGAGGTACGTTGCTTCCTTCCTTATCTACCCTCTTCATTGCTTCTTACCGTGAGGAAGTGAGTTCTGTCTGGAGAGTCCTCTCAATGTGAGGTGTCGTGAGCGCTCAACCTTGAGAGTCGACATTCTTCCTGGGCAGCAAGCTGGTGGGAGACAGGCGATGCCTCTAAAGGGCCCTGGATGAAGCACTCGGGTCACGGTCACCATGCCAACCCGCTGGGACTAGTACACGCATGCTTTGCTGCAAGTCCTTGGTTCTGCTGCTGCGCAATAGAGGTCATGTAGGGCATGCCAACCCTTTGAACAAACGCTTTCCAGACCGTCTTTAAATATTTTTAGCGGGGACTCGGTGTTGATTTTGGCTGTGATCGTCGTCCTGTCTGCGACGTTAAATAATTCCTGAGGAGTTACGGGGGATCTCCTTAAATGCCTCCTGATCAGCCAGATCAAACCGGGTGTAAGGCT